AATTTAGAAAAGAGCTGGGTATACGGGGCATGGCTACAATCCCAGCATTCAGGAGACAGAAGCAGGAGAATCATGGTGAGTTTCAGGCTAGTCTGGGCTACACAGTGAGTTCAAGGCCAGCCTAAACTACATAGAGACTTTGTTTCAAAAAAACAACAAAAATCCCAGCACTGGGGAGGCTGAGGCAGCAGGACTGCCAGGAGTCCAAGACTAGGCAGAACCACATAGTGATACACTGTCTCAAATACCAACCAAACAAACAAACAAAAAATTAAAAAAAAAAAAGAGCTGAGGATACAACTCAGTATTCCTGGAGTTCAACCCCCAGTACTGGAGGGTAGGTGAAGAGGGCAAAGAGATCAATAGCCATCATCAAGACCTAAAAGATTAAAGAAAGACACAAACAGCTAAGTCACGGAAGCTTGTCATTTTGCTGAAAAAACTTGGTATGAAAGTTAGTGCCATCTCTGATGTCAGCGAGGCCTCGGGGTTTGATGTCCACTTTCTTTCTAAACAGTGGGCTTATCCATAAGGCCATTCAGGCAAACAGGAACAAGAAAGAACATTTAAGACATCACTTTGAAAACAGATGTTTGTTGGAGGCTTGCTCCCTTCTTCCCCCACCCCCACCTCATTCTCTCTTTCTGTGAGTGGCCCCTGTGTCCAGGGCCTTTGTACTGAGCTACAACCCCAGCCTTATTTATTTTTAGACAGCTAAGCTGCTCGGGCTGGGCTCAAAGCTGCAATCCTCCTGCCTCAGCCTCCCAGAGTGCTGGGATTATAGATGTGTCCCATCATGCCCAGCATCTAGTGGCAACTTTTACCTCATTTTAAGCATCAAATGGCAGGTTCATCTTCCAGTAGAAGAGTCAGAACTATAATTACACATATAAACATATGCATATGTTAGGAAAATAAAAGGATCCAAATCCAGGTTAAGGAAATCAGGTATTGGAAGACAACCAAATTAGAAAAACTAGGTCAAATTCGGGATGTACAATTGTGGCAGCACATACATAAATTTAGAAACAGGAGAAACTAGCAGCCTCTGTCTCAGGCCCGCACACCAACGCTGTAAGATTGTGCTACAGCTGAGAAACTGTTTCTCCTGGAAGAAGGGAGAGAGGACGGGCTCACGTATACAGGGATGAAGACATAATCATACCTAACTCACCAATATTAGACTGAAAATTTTTCTTCAGATCTTAGGAAGCTCAACTTTGGCTGCAGTAGTCAATTTTGCTACATCAGCCAATCCAGCCAGCTGGGAATCCTGGCAGTTCTGCACAAGGGCCCAGCAGCCTCCCTCCCCCGAGAGAGAGAGAGAGAGAGAGAGAGAGAGAGAGAGAGAGAGAGAGAGAGAGAGAGAGAGAGAGACACATTTGGAGTGGAGTCATCAGAAAACTGGCCTTTAAAAGAGACCAACCCTGCATTCTCCTTTCTCCAGCTAGGATGTTAAGGATGGCATTTCAAATGCTCAATATGCTCTTAATTTTTTAAAATACTGGGAATTGAACTCAGGACCTTCCCAGTGAGCTACAGCACCAGCTAAATATGTATACACATATATATGCACACACACACATATATGTATACGATGGTCTTATTACGTAGTCCAGCAGGCTGGCCTCAAACTTGCAGTTACCCTCCTGCCTCAGCCTCTTGAGTGCTCCCATACCAGCCCTCTAAAAATTTTTGTTTTTCCTTTTTAAATTTTGACAAAGGATCTGGTTAAGTCACTAAGTTCCCTGGGCTCACCTCAAATTTGTGACCCTCTTCCCTCAGCCTCCCAGAGCACTATAGGTGGGCCTCTCTACACCAAGCTATTATGCTTATTTTGAGAAAGAAAATTTCTTCTCTTTGCATCACAGCTCCATGTGAGCTCCCACGGCTTTCTAACCCATACTGAGCCTTTATTTCATAGCACTGAGCACCACCTCCTATCATATAAAGGACTTCTTCACAGCCCCAAGGCCTCTGCTATCAAGAAAGAAGACGGGGGGGGGGCTTGCCATTACCATTGCTTCAATGTTTTAAACAGTGTTTCACATTCTCAGGGTACTTAATGTTTGTTGACTGAATGAATAAAAGTGCAGGCCGTTAGTCTACCACAATTTTGACTTCCTACCACCACAAAATCCTAATCTACAGGCAATCAACTGAGTAGACTTCAGATGCTAACTTGTCTATGGCCACAAAGAAGCCAAGTCTCTCCACTGTTGGCTGCACTGTTTGTGACCTCTCCTCACCTGGCAGACAGCAAAAATCACTCCTTGCCGCAAGCAGTTTGCCTAGGGTTTGCCCGCCAGCTCCTAACCCTTTCCAGGATAAGGAGGCAGGTATACTTTAAGACCTTTTAAAAAGATTAAATGCCTTGCCGTAGGCTACACTAATTAGAACTCCAATTAGGAAGTGAGAGGCTCCTCTAGAACCGGGGCAGCCACAGCCAGGGAAATTCCAGCTCTGTCAGTTTCTCCCTGTATTTTTCTACTAACCTCAATATGCCTTCAGTTCAGTTTCATTCATTGGCTCAGATTCTCTTTATTCCGGCTTTGGTACCGTGAAGCTCCCCTCCCCATCTTTTTTAAATTTTGAGACAGGATCTCACTGTCCCAGGCTGGGCTTGAACTTTTGATCCTTCTGCCTCAGCTTCCCAGAGTGCTGGGATTACTGGCCTATATGCTGCCATGCCTTACTTTGGCCTAGCCCCTTGCTCCTTCATTCTACTTACTTTCTGCTTTGCAAAGGGTTAGCCTTGCATCTCATTTCCTAACCACTGAAACATGTTCCCTAGAGTCTTCCACCTTGAGAATCACGCCCTCAGTGATTCTTATAAGATTTAGGCAAAAATACCCTTTTTAGAATTTCCTGAAACTACAAAAGGGCAAGAGAGTCTTCTTACTTGGTTAGATGGGAAAACGAGTCCCTAAGGAGCTAAACCCCACTCAGTTTGCCAGTTTGAGGTACACACCCCAGAGTGCTGCAGTCCTCTTGAGGTACCGCCCTGTTAAAGGATCAATCCCCAGGCTATGGCCTCTAGATCACAGGTGTCTGACAGTTCACTGGAGAGAAGACAACAAGGAGACTGACCATTGGGGAAAGGAGTTATGGCTCTACACTGCTGAGTGATATTTAAGGACTTAACCTTTTTTTTCCCCTGGTAAAAGAAATCAGATTTTTAATGTGGCCCAGGTCCCTTGGCTTTTCTTCTGTCCTGATTGAGGGATATTCATTATAGAAATGCTATTTGTAGGATATTTTAAACCAGTATCTAAAAAACAATGAGAATGATGTCAGCACTTCCCATTTATTAAGAGTTTTATCTTTCAAGCCATCACTGCTAACTCTGAGAATGAATTTGCACCATTTTCTGACATTTTCATCCTAGGATCAGTGTTGCTAGGCAGACCATCAATGTCATCTCTCTGCTTCTCTTCACTTCTCCCCAGACACTACAGTAAGTTCTTCCGCTTCCAAATAGCATCTTCAGAAAAGAAAATCTGCTATTTTCTTTTTATTCTACACTGTAAATACTCCTAAACCTTGTTTCTTCTGGTCATAGAGTAATTGTGGTATCTTAAGTCTCCATCTCATCTAATGACACCCAAGCCTTCCCTGTCTGGGCTCTAAATCATTGTCTCAAAAGCTAGACCAAAATCAGCTTCATCAGATTGATCAGAACATAATTTGACAAAGGAGATAAAAACACAGTAGAGAAATAGTTCGAAGCTGTATCTAAGAAGACCTGGATCTTCATTTCTGGTCTGCCATGATCATAACTAATATCAAGCAATGCTGAAAACAGCAAACCCCATATGGCACTTGATAAGTTAGTACACCTCTCTTTGCTTCTGTTCTTCCATCTGTCATGCAAGAACAATATTGCTTGTTTATTGGCTCCTAAAGGTTTACGAACGAGGAAAGCATTCCTTGCAAAAAAAAAAAAAATGGTGCATTAAGATAGTATTAAAATGAGGCAAAATAAATTCATTAGCAAACATAAAAACCAGTCTAGGTCCAGTATCAGAGGCTAATCATGCTGCTGATCAAATAACTCCCTTAAGGAGGGGGATTACTATATAACTAGAAATCTAGGCTAGAACTGTGGCTGTAAAGTAGCTCTGGCATGACCAAATTCTGTGTTAGTACCAAGGGTAGCATTGCAGATTACATAGCAAAGTCCCCTTCCCTCAATTTAGAAAGTTTATTGGATGCTACCACCAGGATCTATGGTATCCATGGTAATAAGGAGCTTAAAGGTACAAATGAATACACTTAACCGCTCCAGATCCCTCACCTTTGGAAAAGTTCCACTCTCTACCAGGGTAACTAACCCATTTGCTCTAATCTCTCATTAGATCTCAAAAGCAGCCTATCCTGAGGCTAGCATTCCAAAGCCCTGCAAGATAAGGTTCTGCACCTGAACCCTGGAGGCACACCACTATCTCTAGCTGTCAATCTGGGTTAACACACCTGTTTTCAACTAGTTTCTGCAGTCACACTCCAGAAGGCACATAAGCCAGAAAGAAAAATCTGCCTCCGTTTTGAGCCCAGCTTCCTCTATCTCTTTCCTTTTCGCTTTCCACCTACAGGAAATTCCCTTTAAAGGTGTATGTCATTTTCGGGCCATTTAAGTCCCCACTCCCTTCCCCCCTCCCCCCGTTACCATGTTGCCTTCAGTTTCCACACTTTCTCCCTCCCCACCTGCAGTTCCCTTCGCTTCCCTTGGGGAGTTTCTCCCTGGTTCTCCCGGCGTCCTTCAGCCCCCACCCTTTCCTCCGCAACGCGACTCCAGCCTGGTCTTCTCACCCCAGTGCCTCTCCTCCCCACCCCGCTCTGCGGCAGGTGACCCTTACTGGCCGGGCGACCCTCTCTCGTTCTGCGTCCAGGCCGATCCCGGCCTCTCGGATCGCCCCGGCTCCCACGACCCCCTACGCCGGCTCTCCGCCCTTCCTTCCCAATCCTCTCCCTTCCTCCTCCCCCAGCGCCGCTCCACTCACAAGAGGCCAGAGCAGGTGGTGCAGACGAAGCTGCCCACAGTGATATCCACGTAGGTGACCCCGCGCTGGGCGCACTCGAAGCAGTGGCGGTTCCCGGCCTGGCTGCAGCCGCCTAGCTCCCGCACCCGGCGGCACCACACCTCCGAGGCCGCCTCCGCCTCCGCCTTTCCCCCGCTGACCCCGCCACCAGGGCCTGGACCCTTTTTGGCCGCCATCACCATAGTTGCCCACACCCTCCAACCTCCTCCCGACTAGAAGAGCAACCGCTCCTTCAACCACTGCCAGCTTCCCGCCTCCGCCACCTTCGCACGCCGGGCAAACCTGACAGGAAAGCTAGGAAGCCGGCGGCGTCCGCTCTAGACTCGGCCGCCCCTGCCTCGCCTGTCCTGGGCGCCGATTGGCTAGCCTTCTCCCACCTCCTCACTCTGATTGGTCTGACCCGGGACCGCCTCCGGTTGCCGGAGCTGCCAACGCCGCACCCCCACTGCTTTAGGGCCTCAGGCCTCTCCCATTGGCCCGAAGAGACCCTAACTGTGCGTGCCCTCTCTCTGTCCCCGCCTCCTCTCGCCACTGTTTCCGCTGAGGCCCGCCTCCCAGTTTCAATTGGTGACTTCTGGGCACTCGCTCTCCTATGCTAACTCTGATTGGCTATCAAGGTTGGAAAGTTAGCCCGCGAGACAGAGGCGGGGTCCCGCGCGCGGATAACTCTAGTCTTCCAAGGCGGAAGATAATTCCCGCCAAATTTCAAAGACTTGCTCTAGGCTGCGAAGTGACACGCATGGCAGAAAAGTGGCCATTCGAGGGGCTGAAGGGAAACGAAGGAGGAGAGAGTTTTAAAAAAAAAATGCCATTTCATTTTTTTCCTATCCCAAATCATAGATGGACTCTTCCTTTTACAGCTGGTGCGTGGCTCATTCTTGTTTGGAATCTGTCTTTTGACTTTAGAAACCCCTCCTTTTAGCCACCACCTTTGGTGGAACTATTCATTTGACAAAAATACTTGAGTGCTACGTTTTGGGCGCATTTTAGACACTAGGAATAGGATAGCAGTAGACCAAGCAAAACAAACTCCTACCCTTGGGGCTGGAGGTTTAGCTCAGTGGCATAAGCACCTGCCTTGCAAGCAGGCAGTCGTGAGTTCGATCCCCGGTACCGATAAAAAGGAAAAAGACAAAAAGAAAAAAAAAAAAAAAAAGTCCTGCCCTTGTGGAGCCTCTTTTCTGGAGGGTAGAAGCAGACACAAGACAAATGAAAGAATCATCCATTAGTAATAAATTCTTGGAGGAAAACGAACGAGTGATTTGGTATCTTAGAGTGGGAACCCATCTCAAAAACTGACCTTTAAACTGAAGTCTGGATAACAAAAGGAGTCAGATCTGCGGAGCCGCCCAGACAGTTGGAAAAACTTGATGGAAACCCTTAAAGCAAGAGGCTTCCTATGTTGAAGCAGCAAAAATGGAAGGCAGCACGGTTGGAGAATGGTGAGTGGAGAGGATGTTTTTTGGAACTGGACTACGTTATGCAGAACCTTCCAGACTCTGTTAAGTTTGGATTTTTAAAGTGTGATGGGAAGCTATGTAGTTAGAACATAGTGGAAAACCATAAATTGTGTGCAGGACCTAGGCTTCTTCAGCTGTGTTGCTCTACAGGGCACCATATCTACTCCCAAATTCACCTTATGTTCTAGTCTAGCTTCAGCCATCATGCTAGTCAAAGTAGTGGGAAAAACCTAGCTGATTTTAAGGCCATTTCAGGAAACCTCACTGGTTCTCATCTCTTTGGCCAGGGCTTTGTGATGTGATCACAGCTAAGTTCAAACACTGGAAAATTTATTTTTGTATTCTGGCTTTCCATGTGCTCACCTAAAGTCCAGAGGTTTTATTTACAAGGAGAGAAGGAATGTAGGAATAAAAACACAGTTACTGCAAACAAACAAACAAACAAACAACACAGTCACTGCCATAGAAACTATTAGAAAAGTTGTAGTGGGGATAAAACTTGCTATGATTTTCAGTTTGAATAGATCATTTGGTCCACTGTAGGAGAACTGGTTATGGATAAGATTGGAAGTAAGGATTCTGGTAAGATTGGGAGAAATAATGTCAGCAGGCCAGGTAAATGATAGTGGAATTGACTGGAATGGTAGGAGGAACTTGAAGAGAAGTGGATTAATTCAGAGAATGTTTTGGAGGTGAAATCCTCAGGACTGGTTAGTGGATTAGATGTGGGAGGCGACAAATAGCAACTGAAGGCAACTTTCTGTGATGATGGAAGTGTTCTGCATCTGGCTCCCAGTGTGGTAGCTACTAGCCGTAGTAAAAGACTTGAAGTGTGGCTAGAAAAACTAAGACTGGAATATTAATAGTCATTATTATTATTAGTAGTAGTATTCCAGTCTTAGTTTTTCTAGCTACACTTCAAATAGTTATTATTATTATATTTATTATACATTTACGGTATCTCAAGTAGTTATAATAATTACTATTATTTTGAGAATTGAACCTAGGGCCTCATACATGCTAAGCGAGTGCCCTGTCTCTGAGCTATGTCCCCAGCCCTGTTTAATTAAAATGTAAATTTAGGTAGCCATATGTTACTAGCAGTTACCATACTGAAGAGAGGAGCTCTGGATTTTTGTTTGTGGTACCATTTATGGAAAAAGGTTAGACTGGAGGAGCAGCATTTTAGGGGTTGCTGATAGGATAGCTTGGGTACGCTAATTTGAAATCCTTGTGAGTCCTTCAAAGGCAGATAGATGGATAGTCTGGGTTCCACATGAAACTAGAGCTGGAAACAGGTTCGAAAATCATCAGCATGCAGGAAGAAGCCTGGAGCTGCGAGAGACTGCTAGTCCAGCTTGCAGACAGAGTATAGAAGGGAGCCCACAAGTGAGCCCTGGATGTTCCTGGGTGTACTTGGGTCCATCCTTTCATTATCACATCTGCAAATGTGCTTCAGCGGTCCTAAAGGTAGGCAATGCCAATCGTATTCAGATATGAAGAAGGGACATCTCAGCCCACTTGTGACATTTTCTCTGAATTTTTTCAGAGTTCACGGTTTCCCATTTCTTTTCTAGTTTCTCATTAACCAAGTTATTTCTTCCTATCTTGGAACCTTAAACAACTTGGTAAATTGAGCTTTGGCCCACAGTGAGTGAAAAAAAATTAGAACTTTCATGAGGTTCTGAGAGTTTTCTGTTACTTTTGGTTCTGGGTGTGTTCTTCAAGGCCAACCAAGGAGCTCATTCTCCTCCCATCTCTACTCCACCAGGTCCTATCAGGGAGTAACAACCCCGTTTCCTCTTCATAATCAAGGGATGCACAGCCAGCAGGAGGACAAGCTTTTCTGCCATTGCCCTAGTGGTGGGAGGAGTCCCAAATGAGGAGTCCCTGGGGCAGTGAGGACCACAGAGCCTGAGGAACGTGGAGAATAACAAAGCAAATATTTTTAAAGAGCACAGTAATTGAGGGAGCTGCTACCCTCCACCCTGACCCTTGCTTCCTGGACCTCTGTCCTGGCTGAGCAAGAATTGGCTTTTCATTTCAGTCAGTGTGTTGCTATCTGCAAGAAAGCATCCCAGCCTTGCAGGTGTGGTCTCCCGGCCACTGCTAGATCAGTTTTCATGAGATCAGTTCATTGTTCTATAAAGCCAGCTGCTTCTGGTAGATAGGAAATATGATAGTGGCCGTGGCTGTTTTTTATTTCACTGAGAAGGAAGTTTCTTGGCTGGAGATCATTTTGTCTAGACCAAGTGTTATGCGAAGACAATAATTCCAGGGATCATTAAATAATCCACTTGCAAGGAAGGAAAACCCAAATAGAGAATAACTGTTTCTTTCAGAATATATCACCTCATAATCTATGGCAGAAGGACCCGATAAGATAAGAGTGGACCTGTCACTGAATCTCTCACATCTTCCCTTTCTCCGCCTCCCTCCCTCCCTCCCTTTCCTCCTTCTCCTCCTTTCTTCCTACTTTCCTTCCTTCTTTCCGTGGTTCTAGGGATTAAACCCAGGGCCTTTGTGTTTAGTAACATCTTCACTTTTTAAAAATATTTTATGACAAGTTCTCACAAAATCATTGTTTCCCAGGCTAGACTTGAATTTGTGATCCTCCTGCCTCAGCTTCCCAGAGTGCTGGGATTACAGGTGTGTGCCACCATGCCCGGCTACTGGATTTCTGATAAATTCCCAAGAAGCCTGGTGATCTGTCAAACTCTCAGAATGATATCCAGTCTCCCACTGAATTTACTTATTGATTATAATATTTTAAAAAATTGATTTTCTTCATTTTCCAGGTAGAGATCATATTATCTTCAAATAATTTTAACTTTGAATTGAATTGAATTGAATTATATCCAATTGCTTTCTTTTGTCTAATAAATTGGTCATCAGACCAAGTGAACATCAGATCAAGTAAATAAAGTGCTATCTTTTCTCATTATCTCCTTTAGTGGGAATGTATCTTCGTTTCCTCATAAAGCTCAATGCTGACTTTTGGGTTAACCTTAATATGTTTTTGTCATATTAAAGAAACACCCATTTATTCTCAGGTTTTTTTATTAGTCCCTCTGATTTTGTTGTTGGTTTTTCAACTTATTTTCTGATTGTATGTGTTAATTTATTTATTCTGCCTGTCTTTTGGGGAGCATGAGGGATTGAACTTTGGGAGTTTGCACCGAGCCACATTTCTAGCACTTTAAAATTTTTTGGTTTTGCAACAGGGTTTGCTAAATCACTATGTTGTCCAGGCTGGGCTTGAACTTGTAATTCTCTGCCTCAGCCTCTTAGAGTGCTGAATTACAGACTTGCACCACCATACTTGGCTTGTTCTACCTGCCTTGAGTTTATTTTTGTCATTCTTTTCCTAATTTCCTGCGTTGTATGCATACTTATTCTACTGTTTGTTTGTTTTTTGCTTATTAGTCTAATATCAGAAACATATGAACATTGTTTGAGCTGTGTCTCAAAGATTTTGTTATTTTTTTATTGTTATCTAACTATTCTGTATCTGTGGTCTGTATTTATTTTTTCAAGACTTTTTATTTAAAAGAAAAAAAGAGAAAGGGCTGGGGATACAGCTTAGCAGCACAACTGCCTGGCAAGTACAAGGTCCTGAGTTCAAGTCCCAGTATGAAAAACAAATAAAAATTAAAAAAGAATAATAAAAATGTTTAGGTGATAGGGATATCGCTTCCCCTTATTTTTAACATTAATGTTAATGTTGGTGATTGGAGATTAATGTATGCACTGGTTCTCCTTATTCAGAGTGTAATAAGGCTTCCTTTGTAGCTTAGTATGCAGTCAACTTTTGTG